ATAACTTATAAAAAAAAAAAAAAAAAAAAAAAAAAAAAAAAAAAAAAAGATTTCAGATAGTTGGTTGGGCCAGTTACCGTGATTCACGAGCTCAACGTTTCCATACTTATACATCATGATTAGTTATGGAGAGAACTCGCATTTTATTTTTCTTACAATTTATTTATTTTTTTGTTTTGTTTTGTTTTGTTTAACTGAAAACAACTGTCCATGTATGACATATCCATATATCTGGCTTCATTTATCACGCGATTTCTGCTGATGATGTGAACATAAATGGTGGTGCATGCATGAATAAGGTATTATGGAGTTTGATTTTCTGCCTTTCTTTCAATTATTGTGCAATCAACATCTTTTTTGAATGATATAATAACAAGTTAAAAATAGATATTTTGAATACTTCGTAATATAAAAGACAAAGTAAAAAGAATGAACTTGTATTCGTGGTATGCTTTATTTCAAATTTGAGATATACGAAGTATATTCAATGCTTATTTAATTTATGGGACTATTACAATTAGGGCTTGTTATTATTTACTGAGCTGAACTGAATAGAGTTGAAATGAATTGTTTATGAAAGAAGAAAATTAGGAAGTGAAGTAAACTGATTAGGGTTGATTTGAACTAAAATGAACTGAAATTAAGCTGAAGAGAACAGACCCTTAGGGTTTGTTCTCATACGTTTATTTTCAGTTCAGTTTAGCTCAGTTCAGTTCAGCTCCTAATTTATTTCTCTTATAAAATATTCATTTCATTTCAGTTTCAGCTCAGCTCAATTCAATTCAATTCAGTTTATGAGAATTGAGAACAGGCCCTGTTTTCAACGTATGTGATGAAACACATTGTTGAATCAAACTCTATTATAAACCTACTTATATGACTTGTGAATAAATTAATTCAATCATGCTGATTAACAAAATGAAGCATATATGTACATTATATTATCATTCCTTGCTTCATGACTCATGCTACTTTGGCATTTTTTTTAGGGGAAAAGGCATGACATAATTTTTCACTTTGCATTGAGCTTAATTTAACATTTTTTTTTAATCTTGTATTGTCCATAAAGGCATAGTAATTGGGCCATTGGGGAATTATGGATTCATGAAGCCATAGATCCTGGATCTTAACCGGTAGACAAATTAACTTATTAGTTTGGCTTAATTCCTAAGTATTAATACATAAAAGAAGGGATTTGTTAAACGTCGCCCGCAAATCTCCACATAAAGCCCACAAATATTTTTACTTTGACTCTTTTGCCCTTTTTCTAATTTTTACCGAAACCGTAATTCACTCTCACGAAGAATGTGGAGCTGGAGTGGATCGCCGAGGGACACCGAAGAGCCGTCATCGTCGCCGGAAAGCGAGATAATCCGGGGGAAAAATTACGAAAAGTAGGGGTGGCGTCTGGTCAGGACGCCTCCACCATGGCTGTGGCGTCCTGGCCAGACGCCGCCACCATGGCTGTGGCGTCCTGGCCAGACGCCGCCACCATGGCTGTGGCGTCCTGGCCAGACGCCGCCACCATGGCTGTGGCGTCCTGGCCAGACGCCGCCACTACTTTTTGTAATTTTTTTTTTTTTTAATTTGTTATTTTTTTATTTATTTTTTTTCTTTTTTTTTTGTAATTTTATTTAAACTTTTTGTAATTTTTTTTAAATTTTATTTAAAGTTTTTGTTTTTTTAATTAAACATTAACACAAAAAATTCTGATTTTAAAAAAAATATATACATTAGAAATAAAAACATTAACACATAAAACAAAAATATTAAACATTAGTGCGACACCCACACCGAGCATACACTTCGTCAGCCAAGTCCCTCATCCTGTTCAGCTCAGTGAGAATCAACCCCAAGCAGTAGTGCGACACACGACCATGGAGAATCTTAAATATAAAATGGCTATATATCGTACCATGTCGTCGTCTGGAGTCCTCTAGAGAGTTCCTGATGTCGTTCTTCTGAGTTTCAATTGACTTGTTAAGTCTATCGAACAGTGTATCCAAAGCAGCGGTCGATGAATCAATCCAGTCCTTGGTAGCTCTATGAGCGCTCTCAACTCTACATGTTGTAGTGTTCCCAAAATGAAGTACCTGGTTTGTCCAATATTTGACAAACTTTTCCCTGTGAGGGACCCATTGCTGCATCACATAGTCCACCAGTGTCGGACACCACTGGTACAAATCCCTGAAGTTAGCCAATGCTCGCTCATACGCTTCCTCTGTGGTAGCCTGTAGGATCTTCCGCCACTTACCATTCACCAATCTCTCTGCCATTTCCAAATTCTTCTTGAAAAGGTTGTAGGCTTTCACTTTCACGCAGTTGTTGATGTGCCATGTGCACAATAAGTGGTTCGATTCGGGAAACAGCTCTGCTATGGGGGCAAAGAGACCTCCCTCACAGTCGCTGACGATGGCTGCTGGATGAACATTAGGCCCGATGTAGTTTCTCAGCTTCTCCAACACCCAATAATAACTTGGAGCCGTCTCATCCTTGATGATTGTATGACCAATCAGAAAGTTCTGGTTCGTTGGAGTCATCCCCATGATCTCAACCAGTGGGAACTTGTACTTGTTTGTCTTGTACGTTGAGTCGATCAAAATCACAAATGGCCAAGACTTGATCATATCAGCACAATCAGGATGCACAAGGAAAAGATGAGTCACCTCCGCTGTATCTTCATCAGAATCAAACCAGAACAGGTAACCACGTGATTGTGCCTGGTGTAGCAGCTGCTGTATAGGGTTCCTTCCCTCTGACCGTTCAAACCTGAGTTGCTGTCTGACGTTGTAGATGTGTCTTCGGTTTGGATGGTCTTCTGGAAATTTCTCTAACACAGATGCTAATATTTTAGCAGGCTTGACTTGAGCATCACTCATTTCTTTCACAACTAGTTTCGCAGCAGGACTTAAGCCGCTCAGCTGTCGGTGACCCTCTTCATATACTATCATCTCATGGTTGTGATACCCCCATTTAGAGTAACCAATCACTTCCCAACCGTCACGACTCCGTAGTTGTCGAACCTTTACTCTGAACTCACACCCACAACCTTTCCGCTTTGTATCAAACCGAGTGGTTGTACGAAAATCTCTTTCTTCTCTTTTGCGATAACGGTCACATCTCAAAATGCGATCCATTCTACCATCCCGTTGAGATTTATGAGTTACTACTACCAAGCAAAATCCAGCTGCAATTGCAACCTGTTTTGCCCAATCAATCGCCTGTTGAGCTTCTTCGAATGGACCATCATGTCCAAATATCCCACTGTAATCATTTCCGTCTCCACCATATTCCTGCATCAATTATATATTACAATAAATACATTTAACGGATAATACATTTAATTTCTATATTTACACAGAATTAACACAAAAAAAAAGCATAATTATATATAATCAAACTTAATTTTTATAAAAACCCAATTCGAATTTTCAAACTAAATTTAAAAATATACCATTTCGAATTTTCAAACTTAATTTTAAAAAAACCTATTTCGAATTTTCAAAATTAATTTAAAAAAAAACCATTTCGAATTTTTTTAAAAAATCATTTTCGATTTTTTTTTAAAAAAATAATAAATAAAAAACAACAACAAAATCAAAAAAGAAAAAAAAAAATTAATTTATAAGGGTGGCGTCTGCCAGGGCTGCCACAGCCACTGGACTGGCGCCTGGCAGGGCCGCCTCAGCTAGTAGAGTGGCGTCTGGACAGGACGCCAGTCTGGTGGTCTGGGCATCTAGGCTGGACGCCACTCTGGTGGTTCTGGCGTCTGGCTTGGACGTCCAGGATACGGTTTGGGCGTCCATCCTAGGCGCCGAAGCCACTCCGACGGTAAACCGTGAATTTTAACGATGACTTACCTCGTTTTCCGTCGACGACGACGTACCTCCGGCGTCCCCCGCATCTCCGGCCTGCCCTCCGGTCTCCCCCGGCGAGCTAGTACGGCTCCACATTTTTTAAACCGAGATTATTTCAATTTTAGAAAATGGGCATAATGGTCACACCAAATCATATTTGTGGGCTTTATATGGTAATTTGCGGCGATGTTTAGCGATTCACTAAAAGAAACGCCGCACTCCAATAAGAAAATTGTAAACTTAAAGAAACAATTATTAATTAATTTCTTGACTTTTTGAGTAGTTAATTCTACATCTATTACATATTAGAGCTTTTTGGTGCAGCAGGCCACACGGTGTGGCTTGCTGCCAAGTCAGTTTAAATAACGAATTATGCGTGCATAACGGGGTTACTATTCACTCGCATAACGGGGTTATTGGTTTTGTCAGGGTTACTTGTATATTTTTTCAGGGGTTACTTGTATTTTTATTTTCAGGACTTGTATTTTTCTTTTCAGGGGTTACTTGTATTTTTTTTTTCCAGAGATTACTTGTATGGATTACTTATTCAGAGATTACTTGTATTTTTTTTTTTCAGGGGGACTTGTACAGGTTAATTCAAGGGTTATTTGTATGAGTTACTTATTCAAGGGTTACTTGTTACTTATTCAACGGTTGCTTGTACGTCCCATACCAAACCAGTAACACCCTACAAGTAAACCTTGAGCAAAACTAGCACTACTACAAAAATGGCCAAAGAGACCGGTCCAAATTAGCCAAAGAGACTGCCTTAGAGGCGGTCTCTAGCACATCGGTCTCTTTGGTAAAGAGACTGCTTTATTAGAGGCGGTCTCTAGAATGAGAAAGCTAAAACCGCCACTTAAATACAAGTGGTCTCAATTTTTAGGAAATTGAGACTGCCTTTATAAGAAAAGCGGTCTCTGTTTTAAAAAAACTGAGACCGCATGTCTTTAATAAGCAGTCTCTTTCTTGAGAAAAGTGAGACCGCTTTTCAACTCAACGGGTCTCTTTGGTCTCATTTTAAATAAAAAAAATATTTTTTTTATAATTACTCGTACAATTCATCGATATTAACATCAATAATAATTGATTTAATTTTATTTATTTATTCCATTATTGAATCATAGGTTAAAAAATAAGAAGTAAAAAAAATAATTCTTGTATTTCATACACTCTAAAAATTATGTACATTTTACAGATATGAATGAAATTTCAATACATAAATAAAAATAAATTTTTCCGGAAATGATGACTATAAAATTCCCAGATCTTCTATTGCAGATTTCTTCAGTTCAAACTTGAAAATTGAGAGATCGTTACGTACAACCACAAATACAAACGCAAATATTATTATCCTGAAAATAAAACATAATAAGGAACAGATTGAAAATGAAAAAACAAACAATTTAAAACGAGATATAAAATAAAATTTGTTTACAATAAAAACAAATATGAGAAATTGTTCAATTTAACTAAAGAAATACGAGAATTAGTTTAAAATGATATTGAACACAAAATCAAAGCAAGAAAAATATACTAATATCAAAGACAGCCTAATAAAGAACAATTCGTCAAGAAATTCTCAAAGGAATAAAAAAATACCAGAACTTAAATCTAAAACGCTAAAATCGAAATTGAAAATGGAAATAAAAATAGAAAATCAAATGCAAAATTAATAAAGACGAAAATTACTAGATCTGACTAAGAAAGGTGTTTTTAAATGAAAATATCATAATAAATTGGCGAAAATATGTTTTGAAACAAAAACATTTAAAAGCAAACAAACAATCTACTTTCATGGCTAAACAAAAATTCGAACAAATTATTGGTTTTTAACAATAAAAAAGGATGTTAAAAGGCAATAATTATAAGAAATTTAGATTTTTCATCAAGAAAAACCGAAAAAGGTGAAGATTAACACTTAATAACGAAAAATATACAAAACTCACCTTGGCAATATAGATCTTGAAATTTTGAAACAATAGAGTGAAGATTGAGAAAGAAGTAAATGATGTAAATTTCATTTTATTTTGTGCGAGATTCGTTTGCGAAACCAGAAAAATGAGGAAGATGGATCGAGATGAGAGGAGAGAGAATCTAAGAGAGAAAAAGAAAATCAGAAATGAAATGAGGAGGGTGAAGAGCGGCGGAGTACAAAGTGAGAAAGTGAAAAAGTTCTAGGGTTTGGGACTTAATTAATGGGCTTATGGCTGCCTACGTGTATATGGAAATATCAATTCGAGAGACCTGTTATTTAGAATAACAGGTCTCTCTAATTTCTCACATTTAAAAAAAAACATTCAAGTGACCGGTTATTATAATTGACCGGTTTCTTGATTATTACGTGAGACCTGTCATCTAAAATGACGGGTCTCTCTATATTCCTCGATTTTTTTAAAAAATCCCAAGAGACCTATTTTCTTTAATGACGGGTCTCTTTGATATTTCGAGAGACCTGTCAACCAAGATAATCGGTCTCTCCTCTATAAGAGACCTGTTATGCACTTAACCGGTCTCTTAATTTGGGTCTCTTTGGCCATTTTTGTAGTAGTGTAGTAACACCCTACAAGTAATCCCTAACCAAACCAGTAACACCCTACAAGTAACCCTTGACCAAAACCGGTAACATCCTACAAGTAACCCTTGACCAAAACCAGTAACACCCTACAAGTAACCCCTAACCAAACGAGTAACACCCTACAAGTAACCCCTCACCAAAACCAGTAACACCCTACAAGTAACCCCTGACCAAACCAGTAACACCCTCACCAAACCAGTAACACCCTACATGTAACCCTTGACTAAACCAGTAACAGCCTACAAGTATCCCTGACCAAACTAGTAACACCCTACAATTTTTGACGTAGAATGTTCGATCTAAGATTCCTTGAAGAAAACAAGCTCACATTTCTTTGGTTCTCATCGATTTTACTACTTCAAATGTTGTTAATGATATTAAGGATAATTAATCACAATTTTTCACAGCAATTTAACACCCAATTTCTACAATTTTAGGCTTTGATTGCAGCAATTTGGCAAAGAGGAGAGAGAAAATGGGTGGAGTAGAGATATGGTTGTTGGTGATGTGTAGTTTGGCTTGAAGAAGAAACTAAGAAAAGAGGAGAGAGAAAATGGGTGGAGTAGAGATATGGTTGTTGGTGATGTGTGGTTTGGCTTGAAAAAGAAGCTAAGAAAAGAGGAGAGAGAAAATGGGTGGAGTAGAGATATGGTTGTTGGTGATGTGTGGTTTGGCTTGGAGAAGAAGATAAGAAAAGAAGAGAAAGAAGAGTTGTGGTATTTTAAAAAATAATAATAATTGTGGCTGGCCACACCGTGTGGCCAGCCACATACAAAAATTTGTGATTACATATTATGTGCAAATTTAAGATATTATTTGTGAGATATAAAAAATTTCAAACTTGCACATAATATGCAACGGAGGTAATATATTGATTCTTTGAATAAATATTGAAAGGTTATCATTTTAAACAATTGTATATATTCTTGGAATGATGTCCTGAGGTCCTCCATATTTGTTACACCATACAAACCTTAACATTTTTAGTTGTAACCACATGATCCCTTGAGTTTTAGCTTTAATGCAAGAGTCCAAACCACAGGTCCACAGTTATATACCAAGAGCATCATCACTCGTGGTATAATTTTATACCACGGTGTAAAAACTCATTAAAAACATGCAATTTTTTACTACATTGGTGGTATAAAAGTATACCATTTGATGGTATCTAACATCCCATGGTAAACAATTGCTTTGGTCCTCGGGATATATGAACCAACCAGGTCACGCCATGTGGCCTGGTTATCATGTACTTTTTTTTTTCAATTGCATTTTAAGAAAAAATTATAAAGTACAAAATTATGAAAAAATTATCATTGTTCATAATTTTTCAAGAGTTACACATAGACATCCATATTGATATAGTTTTATATATTTTTACGAATTCACTTTTTAATGCATAAATTGCTTATTTTATTTAATTAACTTTACAAACATTAATTTGATATTTTCAATAATAAAATGAAATATAATTATAATTAAATTAAGGGTATTATTAATATAAATAAGAGAGAGAAAGTGTGGTGGTAAATTTTTTTTATACCATAGGTGAGATGATTTTTGAAGAAAGTATATTGTATTGTGGTATACTTGTATAGGTGATGTGAATGAGTGAGAAAGTGGTAGAGAGAGAGGGATGGTATAAATTTTTATACCATGAGTGATGATGGTCTAATACTTACTTGTTTTAGAGATTGGGCATAATTCGGGCTTGGTTTTAGATGATACATATAGCAGCCTGACCCACATGGCCCAATTTAGTCCAAGATTTATGGGCCAAATCATTGAAATTTTAGTCATAAACTAGTACAAATTGAACGCAACCAAGATGGCTGCAACAAGCCAAAACGCAGGTCTTTATTAATGAAACGCAATTTGCTATTTTCTCCTTCAACTTTCCCTTCTTCCATATCCCCCTTTTCTTATGTCATTTACTTCGTATATGGATTGATTCATTTTTGGTTGCATTTTTCTCTCTCCTTTTTCTTTTATTCCATTTGATATTTTCTCTCTCCTCTTCTTCTCTTTTAATCAAGATTTTCTCTCTCCTCTGTTCTTTACTTAATAATGGAGGTGGTTGCTATTCCTCATGAAATCATCAATGGAGGTTAGTTTTTGTGTTGTTTATAATTAATTAGTTTATATTTTCGTTGAATTTGTAATTGCTTATGATTTTATAATTTTAAGAATTTCAATATACTATTGATTAATTGATTTTGATGACATTGATTTTGATGCTTCATCTTGCTTTTCTGTTTTATAATTTGATAAATGTTGTTCTGCATTTTTAAGATTCATTTTGTGATTTTATAATTATGAATTTCATGAATTTGTTGAAAAACTATCTACATTTTGATGAATTGCACTATTTCAATTTACAATTGATATTGATTTCTTCAATAAGTTACGAAATCTTGAATTGCTTAATCTGCTATGTTTTTTTTTAATTGAATTTGTTTTTGAGTTCATTATATGAACATTTTATACATTTAATATTGTATTCGTTTATGATTTACATTTTGAACACATATATATATATATTCAATATGAACATTCCATTTCTATACTATGAACATTCATTCTCCAGAAGTGAGCAATGTACATTCAATTCACCAGACAATGAACATTGTTATTTCACTATATATAATCATTGTGAACATTCGTAGTTCACTTTATGAACATCTATTGTGCAGGTCATGAACACTTTGTTATTTTTATTTTTTTTAGAGAGTACAAGCCGAAGTATCCAAATTAATGATGAAAGAAGTTGGAAATGAGCAGCAACTTTGTTATTTACATTTTTATTTTTGGACATGTTCATTTAAGTTTTTTTTGAAAGGTTATATTCAATTGTAATTGTATTTTGTTAAATTTCTACCAATTTGATCTATATATGAATTTTGATTATATTAGGTGGTGATTTTGTAATGTATTATGATCGATTTGATTAGGTTTGTGAACATATAATTCATATGAATTGAATTTACGACCTTTAATTATGAACATAAGAAAATTGGAGAAAATGATTATGAAAGGTACACATCATAAGTTTTTACAAAATATGAACATGCATTAAAAATATGAATATATGCATTTTAGAAAATGAACATACGCATTCAAAATATGAACATATGCATTGGTTCATTTTTTGAATGTGTATGAATATAAGAAATTTCAAAAGGTGAACATATACATAAAAAATTATGAACATATGAATTCAGAAAGTTAACATATACATTTCAGAAAGTTTACTTAAGCAATCAAATATATGAATATAAGCATTTAAAAAATTGAATATATGCATAAAAAAAATATGAACATATGCTTTTTCCGAAAGTGAACATAAGCATTAAAATTTGAACAAAAGCATAAATAAACAAAATGAGAACATTATATGAACATTAAGAATATTTATCATATGAACAACAAATATTTATATTATGAACATTTCAAAACATTTTATGAACATACTGTATCCGTTTGATTTCACAAACATTAGGTTTGTAAACATATAATTCATATGAATTGAATTTACGACCTTTAATTATGAACATAAGAAAATTGAAGAAAATGATTATGAAAGATACGCATTATAAGTTTTACGAAATATGAACATACATGCATTAAAAAGATGAATATATGCATTTTTAAAAATGAATATACGCATTCAAAATATGAACGTATGCATTGGTTCATTTTTTGAATGTGTATAAACATAAGAATTTCAAAAGGTGAACATATACATACAAAAATATGAACATATGAATTTCAAAAAGTGAACATATTCATTTCAGAAAGTTTACTTAAGCATTCAAATATATGAATATAAGCATTTAAGAAATTGAACATATGCATTTTCAGAAAGTAAACATAAGCATTAAAATTTGAACATAAGCATAAACAGACAAAATGAGAACATTTTATGAACATTAACAATATTTATCATATGAACAACAAATATTTATATTATGAACATTTCAAAATATTTTATATGAACATACTGTATCTGTTTGATTTCATTAATTTTTTTAATATCTTCAATAAAATTTCGAACAAAAGAGTAATTAACAATACTCAAACGAATTTAAGTGATATTCATAAAAATTCAAACAAAATTAAGTGAAATTAACATAAAATTGCCTTTTTTTTGGAAGGATTCATTTTTTTTTTATCTCATTTCAAATATTCATGGTTGTTTTTTTGAAGAGAGTGAATTGTGTGATTGATTGTTAAAGAGAAAATCAAATAGAGAAGTAATAAATATTAGAAATTTAAGTTTGAGAGTGTCAGTTAAAAAAAAAAAGTAAGATTCTTTGCTTATATACGGAGTTCTTGTTGAATATCCATGGTGATTTTTGATTTTTTTTAGAGAGAGAAAAAATTGAAGAGAAGAGAAAGAGAATAATTACAGAGAAAAGAGAGAAAAAATTGCAGAGAAGAGAGAGAGATTTGGGTTGAAGCTTACTTTCCATGGAGTTTGCAATTTTTTAGAGAGAGAAAACTAGAGAAAGGAGAGAGAAAGTAAATTGTTGTTGGGAAGTAAATGATTTTTTGGGAGAAGAAGTTGAAATTAATGTTGATGATGGTGGTTTTAAAAGTGACGGTTTTTTTTTGAAAGATTGATGGATTTTGTTGGGTGGGCCGTTTTTAGTGGCCTGCTCTGCGTTCGTGTT